GTGTAAATCAAGCACAATGATCCCTGTGTACAGTACTGAGGGGGAAAACATACTTCAACTAAACCTTTAAAATCTTACTTTTTTCCTTTCCAAAACTAGTTCCAGCTCAAGGGTATCTTGTTCCTCTTCCTCCTCACTTTCTCCAGATTGGACAACACTGCAAAGATCCTCCTGAGAAGGGTCTTCTATGTTGTCCAACATAACTTCCGGTGGCTTTACTATCGTTGCTGCTTCTTCTACTGTTGTACTTGCTTCTTTCACTTCTGAAACTGGCTCTTCTTTACAAATTACTTTTCTTCTCCATCTCTCTTCTTCCTCTTTTATTCCCTCAGGTAATAAAGGAGCAAGTAGTGATGCTGCCACCCCTTTCTTCTCCTCCTCATTATTTGAGAGACCCTGAATTCCTTCATTTACTTCCTATAAAGGATAAAATAATTTAGTCTCGCTTAATTCTTTAAGAAATCTTACCTGCATACACATTTGAGTGTTCATATTAACTGTTTTCAGTCATTGGGTATTTTTTAAAACCATCTCCCAAAAGATTGGTATATATTTGTACCATTACATGTACATAATAGAACACTGTTACTTTAGAAAGGCAGTGATTGAACTAGAGCCTAGCTCTGGGTGAGTCTTAAATATATCCTCTCCGTTATTCTCAGGATGTCAAAAGACAGAGTAATAATAATCAGAGGCAGCTTTAAATAAGATCAGTAATTTATTAGCTCAACAGATGACTAGATAAATCTTCACCTTCTGCTGTATGAGAAAATCTCACAGGTATGCTGTGAAGGTGACTTAGAGGAAAGTGAAATATTCGTAAAATGAAATATGTGACTACATTTAAAATATTTTCCCTATTGGGATAATATTTGTCCTACCTCCCTCCTAGAGCTGTAAAGATTTAATTATTTTAAAAGTACTTTTTGATACCAAAAAAGTCATCATTTTAAAACTGAAGATAACCTGTAATTTAACACACACTCCCCAAAGAATACAACTTGCTTTTCTTACTAATGTAGCCATAGAAATGTTCGTATTTCACTAGTACAGGCTGAGTATCCCTACTATTAAGATCGAAGATGCTCTTTTGAGCACTATCATGATGCTCAAAGGAAATGCTCATTGGAACATTTCAGATTTCAGACTGTCAGACAGGGAATATTCAACCAGTAAGTATAATGTAAATATTTCAGAATCCCAAAAACTCTGAAAGCTGAAACACTTCTGGTCTCAAGCATTTCAGATAAGGGATGCTTAACCTGTAGCAGTTTTTAATTTAAGGTAGTTGTTCTTTGTATTTGAAAAAAATCTTACGTGGAATCCCAAAATAATAGAATGATTCTGTCTGAAGCGGAGATGGGGACCTGGAGTCCTGCCTGGTTGGCTGCTCCCAAGTCCTTCGCAATGACCCAAAGGAACCTCTATGGCACCCTAATGCTCTGAAAAACCACTGAACTGAATAACTGCTATATATGCTGCATAACACAAAAAATAGATTAACTGAAACTAAGAAACAAAATTCATCATGTTTTGCATCTGTGTTTTAAGGCTTCTATATCTGTGCTCAGAGTACCATTCAAGTTTATTAGATTTAAAAATAAACAAATGATGTAAATTGCAACACTGACCTTTTTAACTTCTCGCTTGGCTATGACTGGTCCACTTTTACTACTGGAAACAGAAATAGTTTTCTCCTTATTATATAAGTCTGTATTTACCACAAAACTAGTTTCAGCACCTGTTATAGAACTAAAAAAATATATATACTTAGTTAAAGAAATACAAGACAAATACTATGAGCAAAAGGCAAGACTATGATTTCCTTCTAGGTAATTTCTTTTTCAAGTTCATTCTTACCTGGTCTGGTAATGTAATCCCTGTACCTGGGTGGCAAGATATTGGGGTAACTCCCAAGTCACTTCATTTGTTTGTGTGTTCCAATAATAATAACAGCCTGTGTTCTCATCCCAGACTTCCTGCCAATCTCCCATCTCAATTCCGACTAGAAGAAAATAAAACAATTATTTTTTTGGATACAGGGCCTCACTCTGTCTCATGGGCTGGAGTGCAGTGGTGTCATCAGAACTCCCTGCAACCTCAAACTCCTAGGCTCAAGTGATACTCTTGCCTCAGCTTCCCTAGTAGTTGGAACTACAGACATATGACACAGTGCCCAACTAATTTTCTTAATTTTATTTTTGTAGAGACAAGGTCTCTCTATATTGTCCAGGCTGGTCTTGAACTCCTGGCCTCGAGCAATCCTCCCACCTTGGCCTCTCAAAGTGCTGGGAT